GGTACGGTTGCCTTCGAGGACGACGAAAAGGCTGAGTGCTTTGCAGACAGCATTGCCGCACAATGCTCTCCTAGCTCTCAACCTGTCGACCCCTCACACATTCAGGAAGTGGAAGATGAGGTCCGCTGCCGGAACTCACCCCCCACATCCTCTGACCCTATCACTGTGTCCAATGATGAGATCTCATCCATCATCAAAGGACTTAAGCCCAAAAAGTCTCCGGGCGCGGATGGCATATCCAACCAAGCCCTTAAAAACTTTCCAGAGCAGGTGTTAACCCTCTTATGTATTATCTTTAACGCCTGCTTCAATCTTAGTTATTTTCCTACTACTTGGAAAGAGGCAATTGTCATTGGTATTCCCAAGCCAGGCAAGCCTCTAAACCTCCCCTCCAGTCATCGTCCCATTAGCCTCCTAAAGGCCATGGGCAAACTCTTTGAAAGAGTCATTCAAAATCGAATGAGGCGCCATCTGTTTCCCACAGACGGTGACCCCCTTGTCATCCCACACCAATTTGGTTTCCGTGCGAAACACTCGTGTCCACAACAAGTACACCGCATTGTGGAATATGTCCTCAGCGGTTTTTATCCACGTCGACTAAAGACAATCGCGGTCTTTTTCGACATTGCCAAAGCCTTCGACCGCGTCTGGCACGAAGGCCTTATTTTCAAATTATATAGGATAGGACTCTCCGATCGTCTAGTACGTCTCATAGCCTCTTACCTACAACATCGTAACTTTCGATTTAGACACGAAGGCACGTTATCCTCTCAGCGCCCCATTAAAGCTGGTGTTCCTCAGGGATCAGTACTAGCTCCCCTCCTGTACATCTTGTACACCAACGACATTCCAATCCCGTCGAATGGTGTACAGCTCTCACTCTTCGCAGATGACACTGCTCTATACTTCAAAAGTCCTAGAATATCTTCAGCAAGGAACAAGATCCAAAAGTCAGTCGATGACCTAGGAGATTGGTTCCAAAAATGGCGTATCGATGTGAACCCGGAGAAGAGCTCCGCAGTTCAATTCGATATTAAAAGACGCCGTAATAAAAACAAGAAAAATACTCCACCTATACAAATGCTAGGGACCCCTGTCCCATGGCATATGTCAGCAAAATATTTAGGCGTCACCCTTGACTACAGGCTTACTTTTGAGTCTCATGTCAAAAGAGTAACACGTCTAGCTCGTTTATACCTAGGTAGGCTTAACAGTATGTTAGGCCGACATAGTAAAATGTCATTAAGAAATAAGCGAACCCTTTATAAGGTTTGTATACGTCCCGTAATGACTTACGCGGCCCCTGTATTCGCACACGCCGATAATAAAATTATAAACGAACTACAAGTAGTTCAAAACTTATTCTGTCGTCGAGCTACGAACGCACCTTGGTACGTCCGTAATGCCGATCTTCACCGGGATTTAGAAATCCCAACAATTCAGCAATTTACTAAAACTCTCTCTGAAAACTTTTTTAAAGTTTCAGAGTCGCACAATAACTCATTAATTCGTGAGGCAGTAACTTATACCGCCCCACTCCCCTCCCGCTATACCGTCCGCAGGCCGAGAAACACTCTCTCGGACCAGCCAAATAAACTTGAACTGAGTCCCTCATAACCACGATGGACCGGCCATCGTGGTATGCGTAATGCATTTTCTGCCTCCCTTCGGGGTAGCCCATTTCCAATTGCTTCGGGCGCAAAAAAAAAAAAAAAAGTACGGTCGGCTCACAGTGCGACGTCGGGTGAGTCCTTTTACGCTAACTCCAGTTATTACCCCCCTGTCTCCGGGCGGGGCGGTTTGACTGTTGGTCTTGCTTGTTAATTGTCATTTTTTGTTTTTTTGTTGGTTATTTAAATTTTTCAATTTTATGTTATTGTTATTGATTTTATAACGTGTATACTGTTTCAAGGGAGTTACTTGCTCTTTTCAGAGCAAGGCCCTTGTTCTTTTGAGAACAAGGGCACAACTCCTCGAGTTTAGACCGTCCCGTTTTTTTCAGAACGGTGATCCCGCCCTTACTGTTTCAAGTAGAATAACGTCTCTCCCCCTCCCCAACATGAACATGTCTAAAGAAGAACTTCTTGACGCAATCGTCGCCCGCCTGCACCAGATGGACCCGTCAGCTCTGGTAGCCTCTGCCGCCCGGGTCGCTTCCGCCAATTCATCTGCCCCTCAGGCACACCTCCCACCGCCCTCCGTCGCGGCCTCTTCGGCTGCTAGCCCGGCTGTCCCACAGTCGAATTCTTTCGCACCCCTAGAGATGGAGTGCTCCAACTCCGACTTCGGGTCCACACTCCGGGGCACTGGTTCTTCGGAGTCGTCTGAGACGGATCCGATGAATCAGAGTTCACCACAGTGTCTTCCAAGCGCCGTAAACGCGCCGCGAAAAATCGCACCGTTTCGGCGGCCTCTGCCGCCCCCGCAAACCTCGCAGCCCCCGTAGCTGCCTCAGTCCCCGCAGCTACCGCTGCAGTTTCCGAGTTACCACTGCCCAAGCCAGCCTCCCGCTGTAGTCCTAACCCGGCTAAGAAGCAAGTCCCGCCCCCTGTCTTCTTACGAGACAAGGCTCAGTTTACCCGCCTCTCCAAAACCTGCTACGACGCAGGAATTAAATACGACCAAGCCACCAACCTCGGGGAGGCTATTAAAATCATCCCCCAATCTGTCGACGACTTTCGTCGTCTCACCAGGCTGTTCACAACCGAAAGAGTCTCCTATCATACGTACGCTCTTCCGGAAGAGCGCAAAATCAGGGCTGTCATCCGAGGCGTCCCTTTTGAACTTTCCAACGAGGAAATCCTTGAGGACCATAAGTCCCAACAAGGCCCTCCCGGTTCCCTCCTCCTCTTCTTCGCCCTCCTCCAGGCTTCTCGCAACCTTTGCAGCCTCCAGTCTTTCCCTGGGGCCCCAAAAAGGCCGACCCTCCGCGGTCGTCCTCCGCCGCTCAGCAAACACAACCCTCAATGGTTGATGATCTAAATACGGTGTACGCCGCTATTAAGAACATCAACATTGGGGAGATCACCGTCTTAGCACGCAAATTGCGCGCTGCCCAGTCCCCTCAGGACCGACTCCTTGCTCTTACAGAGCATCATAATCTTTTAAGTATGTTATAAGTATATTTTAATCATTTCATCGTAAGGTCAGTATACGTCTGGTTAAATTTGCCTTCGTAGGCACTCCCTAATAAAAACTCTCTGAAAACTTCTTCAAAGTCTCAGAGTCTCATTCAAACATACTTATTCGTGAGGCAGCTAAGTGTGCAACCTCACTCCCCTCCCGCTATCGCGTCCGCAGGCCGAGGAACTCTCTCTCGGACCCGCCTAATAAACTGTCAAACGACTTGAACTGCCTCCTGGTGGCTCAGTCAAATTCATAATTAATTTTTCATAATTAAATTTTTCACAATTAAATTGCCTTCGTAGGCACTCCCTCAGCGGCTAGTAGCCGCCTACGCCCTCTTTTCCCAAAAGAGGGTCGCTTCCGATACGGCATATGAAGCTTTAAACAGCTGGTTGCCAGTCCCCAAAAGCGGTTTTTAGGGGGTATCACTTAGGCTCCCCGGTAGGCAGTGAGTCTCCCATAACCACGATGGATAGTCTATCGTAAAGGGTAGCCCATTTCCAATTTGCTTCGGGCGCAAAATACGCCAGTCGCTCTCCAGCCACCGAAAAGAAAACACAGCAAGAAAAAGTACAAGTTCCTCCTCACCGCCGCTTGCCTCCAGTTTCAGCAAGACCAACGCGTTTCATTCATTTTTCGAACGGCGTTACGGCGATCCGTAACACGTACATCCGCTCGATAAAATAAAATTATGTGTCTCACCTAGGTTGAAGAGCACCTCCCACCTTTCCTCAATTGTGTGCACTATTCCCATCACCACTAATCCCAGCACCACTGCTCTTTGTATACGGTAAGTTTATGGTTAAATTATGATGTCATTTTTTTAAACCCCGAAGAAAACAGATGGGTCATAAATGTTTGTAATGTGTACTGCATATCTGTGTATCTGTCTATTTGTACATATGTGTGTCTGTCTGTGGCATCATAGCTCCTGAACCGATTTTGATTAAGTTTTTTTCGTTACAAAAGAATATTTCAAAAAATCTGTTCAGACGTTTGAAGATCATCAGCTCTCTTTGTTTCGGAGGTTTTAATTTTTTTAATTTAAGTCATATAATGCTAGAGTGCGCTCTCTTATGTTTTGTTATCTATGTCCTATATAATATTTTCAATTGTAAGCCATGATTTCATTTCATGTCAACTCATGTTAAAACTAAGTTGAAACAAACGTAACATAATATCAGAAATCTTACTCAGTTTTATTAAATCAAGGCCCCCCTAAGCCAATAGTTACAATATTTCTATTTTAGGATTAAAAACTAAATGTTGTATTAAGTATAGGTTAGCATGACGTGCATCATGGACGAGCTATTTTTACCACTGTTTATACAATTTTTATATCAAGATATATTTCGAATCAATTTGAAACTCAAATGTAAGCTTCTACTTGAACTCGAAGTTAGCCGTGGTAGCTCAGGGGCTACGTGCTCGCTGTAAATTTCACAATACGCGAGCACTCCGGGTTCGATCCCCGCCGGCACCAATGAAATTGTTAATTACAATTATTTTAATTGCTGGTTTACCACGTGCTCGGCGTTGAAGGTAAACATCTTGATGAAACCTGCATGTCTGAGAATTAAGAAAAAAAAATTCGAAGACATGTGAAGTTCACAAACAGGCATTGGGTCAGCGTGCGGACTTTTCCTTGCCCTAAAACTCTCTCAGAAATGAGAGGAGGCCTAAGCCCAGCAGTGGGACGTATATAGAATGTATCTAACTTCACATTAAGACCGCGAGTCGTAAAAGTTGCCATAATAAAAAATACTTTAATTTCGTAATGGTATTAAGGTTGGTTTATTTACATTACACTCTTTTAGTACTTATAAGAGTATAATGTAAATAAAATTATTTAATATGTAAGAAAATTGGTTTACCTCAAGACCATTGGGATGGAAGACGCCGCTGTGCGTTTGGTTCAGTTTGTCGAATTTGTGTATCTCCTTGCCAGTATTTACATCCCATAGTACGCCATCTGTAGAGAGAAATAAACATCTTATAACTGTAAGCAGGCAATGGATTGGCAAAAACCGGCCAAATTTGCAGAGAAGGTTCAGAATAAATAATATAGGCAAATGGTGAAGAAGAATTAATTTAAATAAATCTCAAACATTCTGTTTTGTTTAATTTTATTTATTCAAAATTCGTGGTAATGCATTACTTTAACTGATTTTAATGCTCACGCACACATTCGTAAGGGTCGATCGGTAGACAAAAACGTTGTTACCCATAAGTCACATTCAATTTGGAATAATTTCAAATAAAAGTAGAAAGCCTTATTTACTCGTATTTTCAAAAACTGCAGTAACGGTAATTTTATTTATATATTTGAACTTAAGTTTAAACTTTGGCTATTCTTTGAAAAATAACCCTGTAGATACAACAAAAGTAACTGATATAGCTCAGGCCCAGGCCCATGGATCAATAGGCTGAATAGACAACGAGCCGGCTCTATCGCTTGAAAAACTGACAACAGGTTGAAGAAAGATTCTCGAGTGGCAGCCTCGTATCGGTAAGCGAAGTTTAGAACGGGCCCCACTAGATGGAGCGACTGCTTGCTCACAGGTCACAGTCAAGACACGCAGGAAGTCGATGGATGCAGGTCGCTTATGTTCAGCAGTGAACTTGTGAAGGGCTATGATGATAATGATGATGATGATGTTTGAAATAAAGCTTTGTGTTTTTAACAGTCTTCTTAAGGATATATGTACTGCAGCCGGTTTCATTCGTGTATCGGTAAATAACGCTTTTTATTTCGGTTTCAGTTTTAGTTCTGAAATCAGAACAGCTAACTACCGGTTGTTTCTTGCCGGTATATTGGAACCTTTTCACATCTCATTACCACAGTGGCTGAGCGTTTGGTTTCGACGCTTCAAGTCGTAAGTTTGATTGCTGATTTTTCTAAGGCTGAGATCTATAAACCGTACTTTGAGAGTGTGAGTACTTTACTTTCGAGCTAAGACAGTGTCAGTACTTATAGAGCTAACTTCGAAGTCTTGCTGAGTGCGCGCTTAGCAAAGCCTAAGTCAACGATATCGACATATTATTCAAAACCACCGTATTAATTTTAAATTGTTGTTTTTATGTTACTATAATTAATTATAACAATAAATAGGTAGTTTTAAGGCGTCTTCTCGTTTTAAATAGTATTATTAATCCATTTTCTATTTACGTAATTTCAATCTTTATTCGAATTTCATAAAATCTTTTTTTTTCTGATTTTGCACTCATCTCATAAGTTCCCGTTCTCTTACGCCCGTTTTTTATTACATGTAATAATAACTTATTTATGAAATACAATTTGGACTGTTTTCGATTTTAAATATATATTAATTTTATACAGTAAAGTCAAAAACATAATGCGTGGAATAAAGCATTCATTAATATTTGGCTTGTCTGGGCCTTAGTATAAGTTTAGCTTAGCCTTAGCGCGATACAACTATAGATTCAGAATCAAAGATTATGCTAAGCATATATTCAGCTAAGTTTTTCGTAAGCCAAGTCTGAGCAAAGTCAAAGTACGATCTATAGATCTCAGCCTATGTCTGGATGTTTCCTCATACGCATTCACAAATAAAGTAAGAGGCAGACTGGTCCCATGTACGCAACGTATTATAACATATAGATACTTGATTTTGTACGAAAATGGATCAAGTGTGTACACTAACGTAGGAGCGTTGTATTGTATGTGTTGCGTATGTGGGAACAGTCTGTTCCTAGCTCAATTGTGATAGTGGAGTTGTAACCTAAAAAAGATAATAAAAAGTTATAGCATGAATGGGTCAGCTCGACCGGGGAAGGACTACGCTCTCACAGAATACCAGCGTAAAATAGCATCTTAACGCTGCTGTGTTTCGTATTATGAGTGTAGAGAACCGGAGACCCTTTTTACTGGAGACGAGGCATTCCATCTTAGCCCTCACGGGTGACAACGAATCTGCACTTTGATTTTTAATCAAGAATAGATGTAGATGTCTATGGGCCACAGCAATAGCATCCACTTACCCTCAGGTGGACTGTGTGCTCGTTTGTTTCCCTTATTCCATAAAAATATTTAGAATAATTTAATAATTAGCTGGATATGAATCTAACAGCTGCAAAGGAGGATAGGGGTAGATGTCTACGAGCCACAGCGACTACTTACCATCAGGCGGACTGTATTGTCGCTCGTCATGCTAATGAAGTATTTATTTATTTTATTTATTTATTTATTTCTCACCACAAACGACATGGACATTGGTTACATTAGTGTTACATCTCTATTTAAGTACAAAGCAATGTGTGCGGCGCGCGTACCCGAGAGCACGAGCTCGTCCGTGGGGTTGAAGGTGGCGCGGTTCTTGGCGTACTGGTTGCTGATGGCGGGCGTGAGCGTCATGAGCTCGCGGCCCGTGCGCGTGTCGAACACGGTGGCCGTCTCGCCCTTGGTGCCGATGATGCGCTCGTCCGACATCTTCGAGAACTCCACGTACTCCTCGTTGTCCAGCTGGAAGCTGCTGAGAGACGGCGCACATTTTTATTGAGTCGTGTCGTACGTACCGACGTTAACTGTTTCAGACTAGCTGTTTCCCGCGAATTCGTGCGCGTGAAATTTATGATCATTGAATTATAGTGGTATTAATTTTTTTGCGCGGAACCCTAATTCTTTTTCTCCCACTAAGCCCACCGTAATTGTACCGTGATATTATAAGTAACCACAACTTACATATATAGCAGAGTGGATTTAAAACAAAAGGAAACAGATAATAAATATACAGTTACATTAAAACCATATTCCTTACAGCTAAAGTTTGTGGATTGTGCTTATAGTCTATCTATACAAATAAATAAAATTGAAGTGTCTGTTTATAATATCAAAATAACAACTTTTCACTAAATGCATGTGAAAGTGTATACGGTTCTTCTAACAAAAAAAAATTAAATTTTTGTGTCTGTCTGTTCAGGCTAATATCCGAAATGGCTGGACCGATTTTGACGGAACTTTCGCTGGTAGATAACTGATATTATAAGGAGTAACTTATGTTATTTTATCTTAGAAAAAAAATTAGAGCTCCGCGCAACAAAATTAAAACCTATAGAACCCAACTGTAATAAATACAAAGGCGATAAAGTCGCGGGGAACAACTAGTCAATAAGAAAACAATACAACTAAGAAATTAAAAATGACCGACATATGAATATCTTTCGTCCTCTGAAACCCTCTCAGAAATTAAGAACTTCTACATACTCAGTTTAGCATTATTTAATTTTTTTCTAAGTCACCCAAACTAAAATCTTTCGTGTGTTAGATTACATTATTACAGCTTATTAAAAGTCCACTACTAAACAAAACAAGCCGTGGTACCTCAAATGGTTAGCGCTCGCTGTTAATTTCACAGTACACTAGCAAACTGGGTTCGATCCTCGCCGGCATCAATGAAATTGTTAATGGAAATTTTAAGTACTCATTTACCACGTGCTCGGCGGTGAAGTAAAACATCGTGAGGAAACCGGCGTGTCTGAAATAAGAAAAAAATATTTCGAAGACGTGCAGTTCGCCAACATACATTGGGGCAGCGCGGTGGACCCTTCCTTGCCCTAAAACCCTCTCAGAAATGAGAGGAGGCCTGTGCCCAGCAGTGGGACGTATATAGGCTGTAACTTTAACTTTACTGAACATAGGGCCTCACTCAAAGACTGCTTCATGGGGGCTATTTGCCATAGCTGCCACGGTTGGCAAGCGGGTTGGCAACCATAGTTTTTTATTACTTCATGTTGTTTTTATTTATTAGAAGGATGCTGCTTCCTGTCTCCTCTGCATACTCCCTCTGTCGCCTCTTTTGATTGGGAGTAGTGGATATTCTTACACCGTCACTACTCGCTTAGATATTAAACAAATAGAAAAGGACATCTTAGACACTAAACTGTATTGAAAAAAAAATATATAATTGAAAAAATTAATACCAACTTAAAATAACAGCTTCACGCTGCTGTGTTTCGTATGGTTAGTGTAGAGAACCGGAGATCCATTTTACTGGAAAAGAGGCAGTCCATCTTAGTCCTCACGGGTGACAACGCATCTGAATTTTGATTCGCAAACGAGCATAGATGTAGATCTCCATGGGCTACAAGAGCCACTTACCGTCAGGTGGACTGTTGTCAGCCTTATCCTATACAAAAAATGTATTCTGTAGTCTAGATGTAGACTCACAGATAAGTATGGTATATAACATGTTTAAGTCGATTATTAAGGTGAACGATTGGTTTGATTGATGAATGGAATTACGATGTACTAACAGTTGTTCGAACTCCTTCATATTCCAAAGCGCGGAAAGCGGCCGCCATGTTGTCGTCGCAGACGCCAGCAATAGTAGACCGTCTCTGCTCGCCTGAAAATATATTTGGTAATTGCATACATTCTCTTAAAAGAGTACTGTGAAAGATAGTTTAGAGAATAAGGGCCAACTCTATTCTTTTATCGTGAAAAATTTATACGTGGTAGCGCCACGCTGCAGCTATATTATAGTTGTAGCACGAATGGGTCAGCTAGACCGGGGAAGGACCACGCTCTCACAGAATACTGGCGTCAAATAGCAGCTTAACGCTATTGTGTTTCGTATGGTAGGTGTAGAAAACCGGAGACCCTTTTTATTGGTAATGGCATTCCGCCTCAGTCCTAGGACAGATGTAGACAATGGGGCTACAGCAGTCCACTCACCATCAGATTGACTGTGTGCATGTGTGTTTGTGAATCTTATTCTATAATATAGCCGTGTAGTGGCGGTCAAGAATATCCACTACCCCATATCTTCCCGTGGGTGTCGTAAAATGCGACAAAGGGAAACAGGCAGGATATGGGCAGCAGCATCTTCCTGATAATAGCCAAAATTACAATAAAAAAACTGCGGTTGCCAACCCGCTCGCCAAGCGTGGCAACTATGGCAAATAGCCCCCGAAAGAATATGAAGAGAGTAACAAGGAGACGGCCACCAGTCCCCGGCGGCCCCGCTATTCCTGGCTACGGTGGCGACCATGGTAACGGCGGGGCAGGGGGTGCTAAGAATCTCCGGTGGAGGTTCGGTTGCCACCTTAGACGACTCGACCTGGCAACGTACAACGCTCGCATCCTGAGCACTGACGAGAAGATCGTAGAGCGGGAAGAAGAGATAGACAAGTTACGCTGGCATATTATAGGATTATCCGAAGTCCGAAGAGAGGGGGAGGACACGGTAATCCGCGAATCCGGCAACTTGCTCTGTCACCGGGAGGGCGACCATCTGTCCCAAGGAGGTGTCGGATTTATCGTCCACAAGTCTCTCGTTAACAACGTTGTCAAGATCGGGAGTGTGTCGACGAGGGTTGCGTACCTTATACTCAGAATCACCAAACGGTATTCGCTGAAGGTCATACAGGTTTACGCACCAACCTCGGCACACCCTGATGAGGAGGTGGAGGAAATGTATGAGGATATCTCTAGAGCCATGCATTCCTCCAAAACCCAATATACGGTGTTAATGGGAGACTTAAATGCAAAACTAGGCTCAAGAGAGAACGGTGAGCAGAAAGTAGGGAAATTTGGAATAGGGCAACGGAACCCAAGGGGCCAGCAGCTTCATGGAGAAAGAGGGACTCTTTATGATGAACTCTTTCTTCCAGAAGCGGCCCCACAGGAAGTGGACCTGGTCGAGCCCCGACGGTTTGACAAAAAATGAGATTGACTTCATTATGACGACCAGACGACAACTGTTCAGTGATGTCTCCGTGATCGCGAGGGTGAAAACTGGTAGCAATCACCGAATGGTTAGACGCACACTGAACCTAAACGTTAAGTTGGAGAGGTCTCGTCTAATGAAGTCAACGCTCCGTCCCCTTCATGCTCTGTTCCAAAGTCCTGAAACCATTCAGCTCGAGTTACAAAACCGTTTTCAGTGCCTAGAAGACTGCAATGAAGTGGACGATATGAATGACAAGCTCGTGGAAACTGTCCATGCGGTCGGAGCTAAGTTCTGCAAGACTCGCCGCAGAAGAACACAAAAACTCTCCGATCACACTCTTAATCTCATGGCTGTTAGACGGGAGATGAAGCTACATTCTTCAACAGATTTGACAGCATACAGGCAACTGAACAGACAGATCTCCAAATGCATGCGGCGGGACTTACGCAACTTCAATACAGCTTGTATTGAAGAAGCGATCGAGCGGAACAAAGGCTAAGTCTTTACCAGAGATCTGTCTGCCTGTCAAAGCTGAAGACCGAGTGTGGCAGCATCGTTTCCGGGGCACCTGAGATTTTGAGTGAGACTGAGAGGTTCTATGGACAGCTGTACACGACATCGTTGGAGCCACACGCAAGTGTGAGTAACGATCCAAGAGCGAGTCTTATCCGACAATATTCCGAAGATATCCCGGACGTCAGTATGAGCGAGATTAGAATGGCTCTCCAGCATCTTAAAAATGGCAAGGCCCCAGGCGAGGATGGAATTACAGCGGAGCTTTTGAAAGCGGGTGGAAAACCGGTACTGGAAGTCCTTCAGAGGCTCTTTAATTCCGTCCTCCATGGTGGCATTACACCGGAGTCGTGGAGCAGAAGTGCGGTGGTCTTGTTCTTCAAGAAAGGTGACAATGCTCTCTTGAAGAACTACAGACCGATTTCCCTTCTGAGCCGCGTCTACGTTCTGTTTTCGAGAGTCCTTACGAATCGTCTCGCACGCAGACTTGACGACTTCCAGCCTCCCGAACAAGCCGGTTTCCGAAAGGCCTTTAGCACCATAGACCACATACATACCCTTCGGCAAATTGTACAGAAGTCCGAGGAGTATTTGCCACTATGCCTGGCGTATGTGGACTATGAGAAAGCCTTTGATTCCGTCGAAATTTGGGTGGTGCTGCAGTCCCTTCAGCGGTGCCAAGTTGACTGTCGGTATATCGAAGTGCTGAAGTGCTTGTACAGTAGGGCTACGATGGCTATACGAGTACAGAACCAGAGTACGAAAGCTATCCAATTGCAGAGAGGTGGGGAAGACTATTCCTTATGGCAGAATCGCTGGAGGATCTAAGCACTATGCTCAATGACCTCAATAGTGTCTCCCAACGGATAGGTCTTAAGATGAACATTGACAAAACAAAGATTATGTTTAATGTCCATGTCACACCTATGCCGGTAGTTGTTGGGAGCACTAAGCTCAAAGTTGTTGACGAGTATGTTTACCTGGGACAAATAGTCCGACTAGGTAAGTCCAACTTCGACCGAGAGGTCAATCGACGGATTCAACTCGGCTGGGCAGCGTTCGGGAAGCTACGACACATCTTCTCGTCAGACATACCTCAAAACCTTAAAACGAAATTGTACAACCAGTGCATGTTGCCAGTGATGACTTACTGAGACGTGGTCCTTCACTGCTGGCCGTATGAGGAAGCTCAAGGTCGCTCAGCGAGCTATGGAGAGGGCTATGCTCGGAGTTTCTCTGCCTGATAAACTTAGGAATGAGCACTTACTGCTACCAGCACTCTCGCAATGCTTACCTGAATTCTTGGGATCTCTCCCGAGTCATAATCCGCATTACATTACTAGGGGAAGTTGACCAAGCCACCGTTAAATTTTTTTTCTATTGGTCGGAGGGAGAAACACGTCTCTATTATAGCAAGTGTGAGTAAGCCGACTTCTTTTGGTAATGGACTCGTACGATTATACTTTTGCCAGTGTCGAGTAATAGACAATTATTCTATAAAATAATTTGTTTAAAACTTCCCTCGCCACGAGTGCCCATTTCTGGTAGGGGGAACACTATCATCAAAGACTAACCTATGATTCAATAAATTCATTCTTAATAGCTTATCAAAAGACCATTACTGACGATAGACCTGAAGATAGAAATCAAACAATTGACATGACCTACGACCAAAGAATATAGGTAATGTCCGACGACCGACATAACGAGCGGGTCTTACAGATCACAGAGTACTGAAAATAGAAATGATCCATTTGATTGATCGACCCGAATAACCTGGGTTCGTAAGACGAAATACTTGAATGATCAGGTCACTAGAAATAAATTAATGACACATGTCTACTATTGGATATTGGCTTTACCATAGAAGGGATGATTGACTTTAATCGTATCGCTAGGCAGGCGAATTAATGATCGTGGCACCAGACTGTTGAGTAGAGCTATTTATAGCGCCATCTATCGGAAGCCTATACTAAGCAAAAAATTAAAATAAGACCGTTACTTGGTTGAAGCACTTACTTGCATATGGTATATATAAGATTCATGAACTTGATAGGAATTCTCTTCCGCACCGCTGAACAGGTTGAATATCCGGATGTCGCCGGATGAAGTCGCGGCAAGCAATTGTTGTTGTGTTGGCTGTAAAAGAACAAGTTTGTAATACATTAGTTAAACGTGATTTTTCCTTACAACAACGACAAAAACAAATAGCAATAACTTTGTCTGCACTTAGTTCATCTATGGATATGTTATTGACAAATAAAACTCAAGATACACCCCAAATTATATTAAAGTCCTTAAGCGATGCATGTAGACTTCTTTGTGATAGTTTTTATAATGAAACTCGTTTAAGAAGTCTTTTTATTATTAATGCGATAAACATTCAGATTAACGCAATTATAGACACTATACCTGATAAATATCTATTTGGAGAAAATATTAGTGACAAATTAAAAGCGGCTCAAAATATTAAGAAATCGAGCGCTATTTTAAAACCAAGCCATAGACCCCCGTTTAATAAGAATAATTTTATTAAGAATCCACCATCTGCCAATTCCAACAGGAATTTAAACCAAAAAGGCCCATCTCGGAGGATTGGTGTTCGATCCGACATGGGCAGGCCGCGGCCACAGCATCGAACAGTCCCAACCACGGCAACGACCATCTACCGCAGACGCAACGAGCATCACAGCCCTCCACCAATGCGCTCTCGTTATGCGCCTGGCAGCCAACATCGTCGCTGAACATTGAGGTACGATATGCTGGTCGCTTGTCTCATTTCTCTCAACAATGGGAGACTATCACGGGTGACCCTTTCGTACTATCATGGCTGAGTGGGTACAAAATTCCTTTTATTTGTAATCCAGTGCGTCACGATATCCCACACACTATTGCAAAATCGACTGCGGAATTAAATGCTTTTAATGCCTGCATTAAAAAACTGTTACTTATCGGTGCTATTTCTGAGTCTAGTCACCAAAATGATGAATTCATTTCTAGTGTGTTTTTAGTGCCAAAATCTAATGGCGAAAAGCGATTTATATTAAATCTAAAGTGTCTCAATAAATTCGTAAAGACAGTCCACTTTAAGTTGGAAGACTACCGTACGGCTTTAAAATTGATGTCACAAAATTGCTATATGGCATCTATTGACCTTAAAGATGCATATTGCTTAATACTGTTACGAGCTTGGGGTTCGAGACAATTAAAAACTGCCGATTGAATTACCAAAATTGACACTTTAATTACACAACACTAATTACAATCTAAAATCACACTAATAATAAAACACAGTTCGCCGTTATTTCGCTTCGAAGTATTCTCTTGTATCGCCAATTCAATACTGCCCCGGTCGTGGTCTATACCGGCCTTATATAGGGCCTCAGATAGTTTCCCGAACCTTCTACTGTAGCGACATCTAGAATGTTCGAGTACATATCGGTCCCGAAATTTCTGGAAGGATCTCGACTCTCCTAGTTCTGCTACTCGACACTAGAGGGCGCTAGTGTAACTAGTGTTGCCATGTACAAGACATTAATAGTGGCGCGCAACACTGCCCCCTCCTAAGACATGCTCGTCCCGAGCATTATTGGCCCCATAATAACGCGCCAGTCGATCCACCAGGACGATCTTAGGAGTACCTCTGGCACCTTTCTGTATCCGGTAGGTTACATCATTGATCCTTGTCACAATCCGGTACGGTCCGTCCCATTTAGCTTGAAGCTTAGGAGATTTCCCTTTGCTACGAACTGGATTGTGTAACCACACTAGTGAACCTTCCTCGAACCCCTTGTTGTTCATTTTGCGGTCATACCGTGTTTTCATCTTCTCAGACGTTTGCTGGCCCGTCTGTCTGACGTTTTTTTTTTATTTTTTTTTTTATAGGAGAGGGGGCAAACGAGCATGCGGCTCACCTGATGGTAAGTGACTACCGCCGCCCATGAACAACCGCAACACCAGGGGAATTGCAGATGCGTTGCCGGCCTTTAAAAAGGAGTAGGCTATTTTCTTGAAGGTCCCTAAGTCATATCGGTCCGGAAAAATCGCTGGTGGTAAACTATTCCACAAGGAAGTTGTGCGAGGAAGAAAATATCTTCTAAATCGCACAGTGGTGGACCGCCAATCATCCAGATGGTGTGGATGGTATCGGGAGTTCTGCCGCGATGTGCGTTCGTGAAATTTGGCGGCTGGGATTAATCCGAACAATTCCTCAGAGCACTCCCCATGGTAAATGCGAAAGAAAATGCTAAGAGATGCAACATCTCTTCGCAGTGCCAATGAGTCGAGCCGATTGGAAAGAACTCGGTCGTCGACGATTCGAGCCGCTCTGCGCTGGATGCGGTCAAGTGGAAGAAGCTGGCACTGGGGAGCCCCAGCCCAGAGATGGAAACAGTATTCCATGTGAGGCCGAACCTGCGCCTTGTAAAGTTGCAGGCGTTGAGCCGGCATGAAATACTGTCCCGCTCTACTGAGCACGCCAAGCTTTTTAGAGGCCAATTTGGCCTTCCCTTCCAAGTGACCACGAAACTGCACGCTACTCGATATGTCGACGCCGAGGATTCCGATACTGGCTGAGGCAACAAGGGGAGTACCTTGAAACTGAGGAGATACGACAAAGGGGTTCTTTTTAGCGGTAAACGCGCAAACTTGTGTCTTCTGAGGATTAAACTGGACTAGATTTAGTCGCCCCCAATCCGAGACTTTGTCCAGCAAAGACTCGACTTCAGACACAAGTTTATTCCGGTACTCAGTGACGTTTTCCCGAGAAATATTGGCACGGCCGGTGTATAGAGCATCACCAGTGCTGTCATCCGCATAGCAATGAATGCTACCGGCTTGCAACATATCATTGATATGCAGAAGAAACAGCGTTGGTGATAGCACGCAGCCTTGTGGAACACCAGCATTAATAGGCTTGTAGTCGGAGCATGCACCGTCTACAACGACCTTGATGCTCCGATCTGCAAGAAAGCTGGTGATCCAATTGCATAATTTCTCGGGAAGCCCATAGGAAGGGAGCTTCGAAAGAAGCGCTTTGTGCCAAACCCGATCGAAGGCCTTCGCAATGTCCAGACTAACGGCCAACGCCTACCCCTTGGACTCTACTGCCTCCGCCCATCTATGGGTCAGGTAGACCAGAAGATCACCAGCTGATTGACCCCGACGAAAACCGTATTGGCGGTCACTAATCAGCTGGTGATCCTCAAGGTACCGGATGAGCTGGCAGTTAATAATGGATTCCATTATTTTGGAGAACAAGGGGGTGATGGCGATAGGCCTGTAGTTGGACGGGTCTGAGCGGTCGCCTTTTTTAGGGATCGGGTGGACAAAAGCTGTCTTCCATGATTTCGGGACTACGCCTAGGGAGTAGGAGTACCGGAAAAGACGCGTTAGAACCGGTGCCAACTCCGGAGCACACGTCCTCAGCACAATTGGGGGGATTCCGTCAGGCCCACTCGACTTGTGGATGTCAAGGGAGAGGAGTGCTCTGCGAACCGAGCGCTGTGAGAACCGCACATCCGGCATGGAGCACTCACACCGCGGGATGGTCGGCGGTGTGTTCCCCCCGTCATCAACAGTCGAGTTGGACGCAAAAAGGGAGCCTGAAAGGTCGGCCTTCTCTTTTGCGTCGTGGGCCAGTGAGTCGTCCTCCCTGTGCAGAGATGGTAGTGATGGCTTACAGAAATTCCCTTGGACAGCCTTGGCGAGAGACCAGAATGCACGGGTTCCCGAAGGAAGGCGAACTAGTTTCTCGCCAATTCTGCCTATGTGCTCTGACTTTGCCTTGGCAATAACTCTTTTGAAGGACCTGGAGGCGAAGTTATACTTCTTTATAAGTGTGCTGGTATTTACATCCCGCGCGGCGGGCGGGCGGCGCGCCCAGCTCGCGCGCTGTTGTACTGTACTGTACTGTACTGTACTGTACTGTACTGTAGTGTACTCACGTGGAAGATGGTGTGCGTGACGAAGGAGTCGTCGTCCTGCAGGCGCAGCGTGCGCACGGGCGCGAAGTGCGCGTGCACGAGGCGCGAGTAGGCGCGGCGGGCGGGCGGCGCGCCCAGCTCGCGCGCTGTTGTACTGTACTGTACTGTACTGTACTGTACTGTAGTGTACTCACGTGGAAGATGGTGTGCGTGAAGAAGGAGTCGTCGTCCTGCAGGCGCAGCGTGCGCACGGGCGCGAAGTGCGCGTGCACGAGGCGCGAGTAGGCGCGGCGGGCGGGCGGCGCGCCCAGCTCGCGCGCTGTTGTACTGTACTGTACTGTACTGTACTGTACTGTAGTGTACTCACGTGGAAGATGGTGTGCGTGAAGAAGGAGTCGTCGTCCTGCAGGCGCAGCGTGCGCACGGGCGCGAAGTGCGCGTGCACGAGGCGCGAGTAGGCGCGGCGGGCGGGCGGCGCGCCCAGCTCGCGCGCTGTTGTACTGTACTGTACTGTACTGTACTGTACTGTAGTGTACTCACGTGGAAGATGGTGTGCGTGAAGAAGGAGTCGTCGTCCTGCAGGCGCAGCGTGCGCACGGGCGCGAAGTGCGCGTGCACGAGGCGCGAGTAGGCGCGGCGGGCGGGCGGCGCGCCCAGCTCGCGCGCTGTTGTACTGTACTGTACTGTACTGTACTGTACTGTACTGTAGTGTACTCACGTGGAAGATGGTGTGCGTGAAGAAGGAGTCGTCGTCCTGCAGGCGCAGCGTGCGCACGGGCGCGAAGTGCGCGTGCACGAGGCGCGAGTAGGCGCGGCGGGCGGGCGGCGCGCCCAGCTCGCGCGCTGTTGTACTGTACTGTACTGTACTGTACTGTACTGTAGTGTACTCACGTGGAAGATGGTGTGCGTGAAGAAGGAGTCGTCGTCCTGCAGGCGCAGCGTGCGCACGGGCGCGAAGTGCGCGTGCACGAGGCGCGAGTAGGCGCGGTGGGCGGGCGGCGCGCCCAGCTCGCGCGCTGTTGTACTGTACTGTACTGTACTGTACTGTACTGTACTGTAGTGTACTCACGTGGAAGATGGTGTGCGTGAAGAAGGAGTCGTCGTCCTGCAGGCGCAGCGTGCGCACGGGCGCGAAGTGCGCGTGCACGAGGCGCGAGTAGGCGCGGCGGGCGGGCGGCGCGCCCAGCTCGCGCGCTGTTGTACTGTACTGTACTG